CCCCAGATGCCTGGCTTCTGCAGCGTTCACCAGCTCAGCATTGTGATGCACATCCTTGAAACAGGTTTTCTTTCTCAAAGGTGCTATCAAATGCACTGGCTTTTCTTTTCCCCTATGGACGATCGTATTTTAAGAAGACTTCCAGAAGAAGTAGGAGCGCTTTTTGTTTCAATTTTTTAATGGGCAGCAATACAGAATACAATTCAGTGACCAAGCCGCCTNCGTATTTTAAGAAGACTTCCAGAAGAAGTAGGAGCGCTTTTTGTTTCAATTTTTTAATGGGCAGCAATACAGAATACAATTCAGTGACTGAGCCGCCCGCTCTAAAGAGAATATTTGGAGGATTCAAACCCAGCTCTCTGTTCCCCATTTCCCCCTCTCAGATCTTATCGAGAGATGTGGACCGCGTGAAAAGAATCACCCTGGCGATGTGGAACACGATGCAGTTCCTTAAAAGCTGCTTCCAGTGGGAGTCCACACTGAGAAGCGCCGTGGCGTTTGTGGTGAGTTTCCTTTCTTGTGCCCAGACTGTTCGCAGCCCAGGCCATCCCGCTGAAGGTCACACCTGCGAGGACGCTGTAAGGAGTAGATGGTAAATCCATTCATCTTTCTAAAATACATCACGGCTAGGTCGTTATGGAGAAGATGTCCTTCTGACATAGCACATGTTGCTTACCCTTGGAAATCTCTTAACTTACCCAAATCCTGCTCATATGCTACCTGTTGGCAAGTTTAGGAGAGCCAGTGTTCTCTATAGTTTCATTTTTTATTTATTTATTTATTTTAATAATATGTTGGTTTTATTTATTTTTTTAAATTTTATTTTTATTTAAAATATTACAGATGTCCCTTTTTCTCCCCTCTATATAGTTTTAAATGTTTCTGTCCTGGGGCTATAACATGTTTGTACGGGCCCTGCATTGTGTGTATTTCTCTCCTTCTGTCCCAGAGAATGGTAGTGTTTTTTGAAAAATGGCCATTGAAAAATCACGAATAAATGAAGACAAAATTGCTCTAATGGTTAAGTCCACCATTCGCCAACTTTGATGTAAAAAACATTCATTCGTATCGTATCACTCGAGACATAACCGACTACGACATGTTACAAGTCGACTGAACCCTGCAAGGGGGAACCACAAATGTATGCGAAACGCGCTTCTCGCTGATAAAACACCGGCCCGCCCTTATAGGCCCGATGAAATCACAGAGTCTCAGGGCCGCCAGAGACCTTAAAACCACCCGAGTCAACCACAGAGGGTGTCAGAACCTTGGGAGGACTTGAAAGCTGGCACCATGCCCTCTCCTCACGTCCCTGGGCATCTCCCTTCGTGTGTAAGGGGCTTGTCCTTGGTCAGGTTGGTGGGGTCAGACGTGGGAGCAGAAACCAAGTCTCTCCACTGCCCTTCTGGTACATTCTGCGTCGTGCCATTGATTTCTGTCCTATGCAAAGGTCACAGTAGGGCCTGAGTGGCCTGAGTGGCCCTTCTGTGCCCTGTTTTCCATGTCAGTGCTCTCTCCCCCCCGCAAGGCAGCCCCTCCTCGAAAAAACTGGCCCAAGAGGCCAGTGGGGTCAAGGTCACGCCAAACTAGCCCAAGAGGCCAGTGGGGTCAAGGTCACACCTGTGGAGCAGGTACATCGCTCTCTAAGGGGCTTTGTTTTTGTCTGTGCGGAGCATTTTGCTCGGCCCAGTTAATTATAGTTTTTTTTTATTGCTTCAGGATGTAGAGGGCCTGTGGTGGCGGCAGCCCCGACCTTTGATAAACTCCCTCTTTGGTAAAACAATTGGCTTAATGACAGCACCAGTCAGGGTTTTATTAGCCCATCTCTCTCTTTGCCTTGGCATCTACTCCCCCCCTCCTTTCTCCTGTGCTGGGTCCCCCTCCAGCCTCCCTACCTCCGCTTCCCCCCTGAATTCTCCTAAAAAACCTCCCGTGGGACGTTGTGTGTGACTCCGGGCCGACGAGAGAAGTCACCGCACTTGGTGGCTTCTCCCAGCCGGCACCCGAGCCAGCGTCCGCGAGGACGAGAGCGTTTCCTCTTGCTTGAGCTGAGTTTCTGGCACTGTGATTTTTAGAAAAACAGATCGGTGGCCCTGGGTCACGGAGGATGACAGAAATGATTAATGGGCTGCCGGGCCGATCCGAAGAAAGATTATAACAAATGAGTAGAAATGGGTTGTCTTCTGCGGGGACTCCTGATTGCGAAGGGGGCTCCGGGCCAGGGGGACAGGAAGGGAGGCTGTGGCCCTGCGGCCTGGCCCCTTCCCTCCCTCGCCGCACCCTGGGGATCGCTGTGGGTGTCACCCACGGTGCCCGCTGCTCTGTGGTCTCCGAGCCCAGAATGCTGCTCCCGGTCTTTGGTTGTCAGTGTGGTCATTTTTTCCAGGCTCCATCCGCTTGCCTTGGCCTCGCAGGGCCAGGACAATGTCGTGATGCTCTGAAGGAAGGCCTTCAGCCAAGGGCTTGCTCAACGACTGTCCGTGGAGGCCTTTCTGTGTTAGAGACTGGCTGCGACGTGTAAGGGTCCACTGCTGGGCGTGAAAGAAGCCCTGTGGGCTGCAGCCGTCCCCAGGGGGGCTCCCCTGTCACCTGCGGGGACTGGATGTCATCCCGGCCCCCAGGCTAAGGGCGGCGATGTGGGAATCCTGCGCCCACTTCTGTTTCATCAGGTAGCACAGACTAGCTCGTTAACGTCTATGTCTCTGTTTTCAGACGATACAAAGCAAGAATGTTGTAGGATCAGTTTAGTATGTTCTGGCTGTTAATTTTAAGACGTTAGAAAAGCAAACCATATGTTTTCTGAGGATTCCTTTGGATGTGTGTGTGAATATATCACACCGCGATGAAAGCTTTTAGATGACAAAGAAGGGTTTTCAAGGTGAGAGTAAAGGCTACGAAGAACCAAGGCTACGAAGTCTTGCCCGTTACTTTTTTTAAGTCTTTCTCCTTCCTCTGACTTTTCTAGATATTTTATTGTGTTTCATTTTCTGAGCTTCACTTGTTTGTTATAACCTTATATATGTAATTTGCTCAAAAAGTCACTCAATTTTCCTTCAATGGAAGGATTCTTTACTTTTTAGTTTCTCTTAAAGAATTCAAGGTTGTTCAAAATATAGGATTAGAGGAGAGGAAAGTAACTATGTCCATTAAAACATCCCTTCCATGCCCGGCCGGCATGGCTCAGTGGTTGAGCATTGACCTAGGATCCAGGCGATCGGGGTTCGATTCCCGGTCAGGGCTCATGCCCGGGTTGCGGGCTCGATCCCCAGTCAGGGGCGAGCAGGAGGCAGCCGATCAATGACTCTCATCATTGATGTTTCTCTCTCTCTCTCTCCCTCTCCCTTCCTCTCTCTGAAATCAATAAAGATACATTTTTTTAAAAACCAAAAACCAAAAAACATTCCTTCAAAACATCTTAAAACCGTAGGAATCAGAGAGATGAACCCACATGTCTAGCGTGTGGGGTGCTCTGTGCTATATCCCCATGTCTCAGCGCAAATACATTATTTAATGATGCTGAGACAAATTGAATTTGTTCTCAAAAGATAATCATACATGTGATATTGATATTATAGAACCAGTTATATCCATGAGGCTTTTTTGTGTGTGTTTTTCTATTGGGCATTATTTTATAAACCCCAATATTATTTATACAAAGATACAAAGTAATATTATGGCATAAATGCATTACTTCTTTCATATGACAATAAAGCTATTACTTGACAGATGGCGTCAACAGAAGATTATTTTAAATAGCGAAGGTCTCCTGATGCTGTAGAGGGGATTGCGTTTGTGTAGTTTGCTTTCTCTACCATCCTCTCAGGCGCACACCTATTGCAGCGAGGGAGGCAAATGTGTGGGGCATTGATGGATTCCTTATTTTATTAAATTTTTTCCTGGACGTTTGATGTTAAAAGTAATCTAAATCTACCATCTATCAATGGGCATCTTCATAAAGCTGTGATTTTCACATCTGTGACTTTCTTCCTGGGTTTTTTGAGTGTAGAAAAATGAAGAATTTATTCTTCAGCGTTGACAGGCCCTGCAACATGATACATGATTTAAAGCATCAATCAACCCCCCCCCCACCCAATAAGGTTAAAAATACGCTTCTCCGCTTTCTTAGTGATAGCCCGCGTTTGGCAGATACAGAACTCTTCGTGTTTAGAGCTCCTAGAATTTTGAGGCATCGGTTCATATTAACTTAAATGAAACAGCAGCAGTAACAGAACTAACCCTTCAATGCACACGCACACATATGGACACACACATGCACACACACATGTGCGTGTGCACACACAGAAGCAGAGGGCATTTGGGAAACAAAAAATTTCTCTGTTGAACATTTTGTGAGTACAGTTTAGGGAAGATCTTACATGCGATCTTGAGGATCGCTCCTAGGATCCCTCCTGTGGCCCCCAAAACATTCAGGTTGAATTTGGTTCGGTGCAAATGGCAACGACAATGAAAACTTGTTTGCAGATGGGTGATTCGCGTGGTGCTGGTCAAGTGTTTTTTCCATGCTTCAGATGTTTGTGTGTTGGCTGTGTCTGGAAGATTTATTTCTTCTTTAAGCTCTATCACCAGTTCATTCACAACTAGATGTACCTGCCTTTGATTAAACTTTCAGTGGCTGTTTCTGCATCTACCCGAAGTCCCAGCACATGTGCAAAGCTGCCTGCGCGGCCGGTAGGGTAGGTGTTGTGCAGTTGTAGCTCAAAGATTAACAGTATTTCCACAAAGCTGGGAAAAAATCCAGTTACAATAATCACTTTTCCTGGAGGAGATAATTTTAAATATATATATATATATATATATATATATACGTATATGCAAAATAGATAAATACATAAAATACTTAAAATATTTGACAGTCTATTTTTGGTTCATTTATTATTTAAGATGATTTCCCAAATCTCCCTTTCCACAGAGAACTACATAATATACTTTTCAAAATATGTTCAAGTCTTTTTCCCCCAACATTTTTTTATAAGAACAATCCATTATTGCAAATTGTAATTATAATTTTTACAACATAATTACACCTTCTATTGACAACTTCTCAGGCATTAACTAATTATGCCATTTAATAAAATTACAGTAATTGCATTAAAAGATTATCTGTTGGAAATTTAAAAGGACAGTCTTAACTATATTTTAGCATATTTTCATGTTTATATTTTCAACTTCCTAATTGAATTTTACTTCCAGACAGAACCGTGGCTGTGCCGAGAGAAATCAGTTGGGATTTGGGGAACGTGTCGATTTTGACTAGTAAGCATTAGGTCTTTATTTTTTTGGTCCTGGGTTTTTAAATCCTGGGGACACTGCCAGTCTTCACGGGGCCCTGTTAGATAATAAATGGACGGTTAGCCCCCCGATTTGTCAGGTAGGCTCAGGCCCTACCTGGGAGCCCTCCGTCACTGAGGTACCTCCCTGAGCTCTCTGAGGGTGACACACCTGCCAGCACGCTTTCTCCTTCCTGTGCGTGTTCTGCTTGGGG